TACACAGGCTGCTTTTTCTTTTGCTGCAGCAGCAGTAATAGATTCAAAGATCCATTTGTAAAACCACGCCAACCGTTTAAAAAGAATCAACAATTTAAAGGGGCCTTGGCCTTTGCTTTCCCTGAGCATGCAACCTCAATCTTGTCAGTTTGGGAAGCCCTTGCAATATTGTGTACTGGCAACCATCCTCAATGGATGACTCATTGCCTCAGGATCTGGTTGTTGCGAGTTTTGTGTCAGAGGCTGAATGGCCTACCCTACTCCATTCAAATTATAACAATGCAAATCAAGTTTGCACATTCCTCCTGCACAATTATCTTTGAACATCTATGTGAAGTAGCACAAGATTTCCATAAAATCATTGACTTTAAAATCACATTGTAAGACACTCTCAATCAGGTAGAAAACTGTTAACTACCAGGTCAACATTATCCCATTACTCCAAAGGCACATTCCTGTTGTCCAGAGATATCAATGGAAATACCTAGTGGTAGAAAAAAAAGGCATGTTCGCAAGCCTTTTCTTTAAACACAAATTGGAAACAGGCTGTTTGGCAAAACCTGGGTATCCAGAAACTATTTGAGCAGCCATTATATCTCCAGTAACTTGTTACTCCAGGTCAATAAATGTTTCTTCAGATTAAACAGTTGGAAGACTAAAGCTGTTGCCTGGCATCACTAGTGGCTCAGAGGGAAGCAACACTTTTTTTTTCTCTGGTTCACGGCAGTGAGGAGTACAGCACACGGAACAAGCAGCCAGTGCAAACAACATTCTTAAGCTGCAGCGACTGCATGGCAGTGCATCAGCCTTGCATTACAACTGTTAGCCATGCCTAGCAATCAAAAATTCAGATGAAATATTCAAGAGCATACCTTCCTCTGAGTCAGAAGGTTGTGGCTTCTAGTCCTACTTTAAAGACTTGACCACTTACAAATAAATTGATGCTACAGAGGCAATACTGTGGGTGTACTGCTCAGTTAAAGCTGCTGTCTTCCAGATGAGGCCCCATCTTGCGTTGGGTGAAATTAAAGGGATTCCAAGGCACTATTCCAGTGTAGAGCAGTGGAATTATTCCAGTGCCTGATCCTTTTAATTTTTATTCACTCAAATGTGGGCATTGCTGGCTGGCCTACACTTGGCCATCCCTAGTTACCCTTCAGAAGATGATGGTGAGCTGCCTCCTTAAACTGCTGCAGTCTGTGTGCTGTAGGTTGACCCACAATGCCCTTAGGGAGGGAATTCCAGGATTTTGACCAGCAACGATCAAGAAATGGCAACATATTTTCTATTCAGGATGGTGTGTGGCTTGGAGGGGATCTTGCAGGTGTTGGTGTTCCCATCTATCTGTTGCTTTTGTCCTTCTAGATAGAAGTGTTAATGGGTTTGGAAGGTGCTATCTTAGGATCTTTGGTGAATTTCTGCCATGCATCTTGTGGATCATATATGCTGCTGCTGTTGAGCATTGGTGGTGGAGGGAGTGGATGCTTTTGGATTTGGTGCTTTATCCTGGCTAGTGTAAACCTTCTTGTGGTGTTGGAGCTGCACCCATCCAGGCAAATGGGGAGTATTCTGTCACAGTCCTAACTTGTGCCTTGTAGATGGTGTGCAGTCTTTGGGCAAAAGTTGAATTACTCAACATGGCATTTCTAGCCTCTGACCTGCTCTTGTAACCACTGTATTTGTGGCAAGTCCAATTGAGTTTCTGGTCAGTAGTAACCCACAAAGTGTTAACAGTGGGGGATTCAGCGATGGTAACACCATTGAATGTCAAGGGTCAGTGGTTAGATTGACCATTGCCAATAAGAGGCAATGCCTGATATTTGTGTTACAAATGTTACTTGTTAGCCCGAACCTGGATATTGTCCAGATCCTATTGTGTTTGAATCTGAACTGAACTGTTGCAAATGGTGCTGAACATTGTGCAATTACCTACAAACATCCCCACTTTTGACCTTTATGATGGAGGGAAGGTTATTGATGAAACAGCTGAAGATGGTTGGGCCTAGGGAACAACCTTGAGGAACTTGTACAGAGATGTCCTGGAGTTGAGATTACTGACCTCAACAACCACAATCATCATCCTATGTGTCGGGTATGACTCTAACCAGCAGAGAGTTTGCCCTGTGGTACCCACTGATTCCAGTTTTGCTAGGGCTCCTTGATGCTAGGGCCTTGATGTCAAGGGTGTCATTCAAATCGCCTCTGGGCTTCACTGCTTCTGTCCAATGAGGTCAGGACTTGACTGGCCTTGGTGGAACTCAAACGTTGCTGAGCAGCTGCTGTTTGAGAGCATTGGTGAAGTCACCATCCATTACTTTACTAATTATTGAGAATACAAGTCTTCAGTGTTATTGCCAGAATGTTGTCAGGGATCTTAGCACTTGCGATATCCAATGTCTCTAACTGTTTCTGGACATCATGTGGATTGAATCACATTGGCTGAAGACTGGTATCTGTGATGCTGGGGACTACTGGATAGGGCTGAGATGGATCATCAACTCAGCACCTCTGGCTGAAGATTGCTGTGAATGCTTCAGCCTTATTTTTGCACTGATGTGTTGGTCTCTCCCTCCATTGAGGATGGGGATATTTATGGAGCTGCCTCCTCCAGTGAGTTGTTTACCACCATTCATTACTGGATGTGGCAAGAGTGCAGAGTTTAGATCTGATCTGTTGGTTGGAGGATCGCTTAGTTTTGTCTTATCACTTGCTGCTTATGCTGTTTAGCATGCAAGTAGTCCTGTTTGGTGGCTCCATTGGGTTGACGTCTCGTTTTCAGGTATGTCTAATGCTGCTCCTGGCATGCCTTCCTGGACTCTCCGTTGAACGAGGATTGGTGCACTGGGTGAACGGTAATGGTTGAGTGGGAATACTGCAGACCATGAAGTTACTGATTTGTGTTGAAATACTATTCTTCTGTTGGCCCACAGTGCCTCATAGACACCTAGTCTTGACTAGTTAGATCTGTTTGAAGTATGTCCCATTTAGCATGCTGATAATGCCACGTAACATAATGGAGGGTATTCTCCATGGGGAAGCAGTACTTCATCTCCACAAGGACTATGCAATATCATTCTTGCCAATACTGCCATGGACTGATGCATCTGCAGCTGGCCAATTTGGTAACGTTGATGTCAAGTTTGTTTTTTCCCTCTTATTGGTTCCCATATCACCTGCTGCAGACCCAGTCTCGCAGTTGTATCCTTAGGATCTGCTGAGCCACTCTTCTTGGCGGACATTCAAATCCCCAAACCACAGTATGTTTTGCACCCTTTGCTTCCTCCAAGTGTTGTTCAACGTGGAGGAGTACTGATTCATTAGCCGTGGGAGGACAGTATATGGTAAGCAGCAGGTAGTTTCGTTGCCCATATTTAGCCTGAAACCATGAGACTTTGAGTCCAGAGTCAATGTTGTAGACTCCCAGGGCAGCTCTCTTCCGACTGTAGATCACTGTGCCTCCACTTCTGCTGCATCTGTTCTGCCAATGGGACAGGACATATCCAGGATGGTGATGATGGTGCTATCTTGGACATAGTCATACACTCAGAATCATGCCTTACAGGCAATATCAGGCTGTTGCTTGACCAGTCTGAGTCCTTTATTTTTATTTATTCATTCATGGGATGAGGGCATCACTGGCTAGGCAGCATTTATTGTCCATCCGTAATTGCACAGAGGGCATTCAGAGTCAACCACTTTGCTGTGGGTCTGGAGTCACATGTAGGCCAAACCAGGTAATGATGGCAACTTCCTTCCCTAAAGGGCATTAGTGAACAAGATGGGTTTTTAGAATTGGGAATGGATTCATGGTCATCATTAGATTCTTAATCCCAGATAATTATTGAATTCAAATAATTGAGTCTGCTCTCCCAATTTTGGCACTAACCCCCAGATGTTAATAAGGAGGACTTTCTAGGATTGACAGGGCTGTTTCTGCTGTTGTCTCTTCTAGTGCCAAGGTTGGTGCCAGATGGTCTGTTCGGTTTCATTTCTTATTGAGAGATTTTGTAGCAATTGATACAACTGAGTGGCTTGTTAGGCCGTTTCAGAGGGCAGTTGAGCATCAAACACAATGCTGTGGGTCTGGAGTCACGTGTAGGTCAGACCAGGTGTGGACAGCAGATTTCCTTAACCTAAAGGGCGTTAGTGAGCCAGATGGGTTTTCCTGACAATTGACAATGATCAGCATTTAACACCCAGTTAACGTCACTAAAATAGATGATCTGGTCATTATCATGTTGCTGTTTATGGAACTTGTCTGTCTGCAAATTCCTGCCTTGTTTCCTTCATTAGAATGGTATTTTAAAAGTACGTGATTGTCAGAATGCTTCACAGCCATACCTCAAATTTGTGATCGGTGCTTATGTAAATGTAAGTCTTATTGTTGTCTTCATGTTTGACTTCTATTTTTACAACCTCAGGATCTCCAAATATGCTCTGCATTCGCCAAAATATGATTTGAAGAGTAGTCCCTTTCAATATTGGAAACGTGGCACAAGCACTGCTATTTAATGACCCACAAATCTGAATAATAAATATCAATGGGATCACTAGGGAGAAAGCTCCTGCTCCTCCTCTAACGGTTGTGTGATCCTTTTTAAGTCTATCTGAGAAGGTAGACCGGGCTCCAGTTTAATGTTTCATCTGAAAGATGGCACTCTGACAAAGCAGTACTGTCTCAGTAATGTACTGAGTGCACCATGGGTTTTTGTCCCCGAGTCTTTGGCGCAGGATTTGAATCTTCACTTTCTGATGTGGATATAAATGTGCCACCCATTTGTAGTTGTCACATTAAAGGAATAAGGGAGACTTTATTCAAGGAAATTTAGGAGGAACTCTAATCTGACTCCAAAGCATAAAGTGACAAAATGAAGATTTTAAAAAAGAAATGCATTCAAACAATCTATTCATAAATTGTTACTTTTAATTTTTTTAGCAGATTTTTACACTGGCTACCTCCGAGTTTAGCTTGATGATGTTTGTATGTTGTCTGCTTCCAGATTCAGTCATATGATAAAATACAAACTCAAGGGTTGCTGGGTGATGTGCCTCCATTATTAAGCAAACTGGTGGTGGTCAAGTTGAATGGTGGTCTTGGCACTAGCATGGGCTGCAAAGGTCCCAAAAGTCTGATTAGTGTACGCAATGAAAATACTTTTCTGGACCTCACCGTTCTGCAGATCGAGGTAAGGACAAATTTCCTCTCTTTAATGGTATTTGGGCCAGAACCAACCAGAACAAATATAGTATTGCAAATAATCTTGCTATTGGTTTCTGATGGGATGCATTTACTTACTGTGCTACTGTAGTCCTTGGCCATATATATAACCGGTCAAGGTTCTGGAATCAAATTCTGGACTAGACAAAGATAACTAATAGCTGTGATGGGAGGTTACAGCTGATCTTGGTGTTGCATGTGCCAATGTCAGGTGAAGCTGTGGAGCTCCTTGGCTAGATCCCTGAGCAACTTCAGTGTTTGAGGTCATCTGAGAGATTGAAGTCACCGTAGGAGTACTGCTGAAATATGATGAGCAACTTATGACTGCCATCTCTATTGCAAAAGGTGAGATAAATAAGATTCAAAACTGTGATGGTTCTTGAGTCAGCTGAAATGTCCTTGAATCAATGTCAGTGGTAGTTGTGATGCAAGTTGTTTGAGGGGGTAGCTGAGTCAATCTTCTTTTCTCTAACTATAGCCTTTTGTGCGTCACCCCCTCCCCAGGTTCCATGCTGTGCTGGGTCTTGCCTTCATGAAATCTCTCTGGCTCCCCACTTCTTATCTCAAGCTTTTTCTTTACTAATATCTCCTTTCTGTAATTGTCTTCTTGTTTTGTACTGGTCTTTGAGACCATAGTTGGAATACTGTTTTGTTTGGATCTTTGTATAAAATGCACAAACTAAAGGAAAAATAAATAACTATAAAACACTCAGCCACTATGGTCATTGGGCTACTGTAATTCAAATTCTAATTATGAAAGGTTAGCTTATCTATATATGTTTAGGAAGTGTTAATATCAGTAAAATATTGCAGCAAATGGTGATTAAAACTTGAATATTAACTTCATATCAAATGTATATCAAACTTGGTTTGCTAGCATTTGAACAGGACTTATGGTACTGATGTCCCCCTGGTCTTGATGAACTCATTCAACACCGACGAGGATACAAAGAAGATCTTACAGAAGTACCGGCAGTCTCGTGTGAAAATCTATACATTTAACCAAAGCAGGTAAGTGTTTGCATCAGCAATTGCTGCCTACCCCACCACCCACCCCCACCCTGCAAAAAAAAAACAGGCTTCAACACCCGAAGGTTGCAGGAACAGCAATTCCTATTCCGCCCGGGAACCCTGCAGCCCAATGGTATCAATGTGAATTTCACAAGTTTCAAAATCTCCCCTCCCCCTACGGCATCCCAAAACCAGTCCAGCT